CAACCAATGGGAGTAACAACCTACAGACTCACGTCAGTACTAGGAAATACACTAAAATTAAGCCCAGCAGCAAGACTGATTTTTCACAACAGGTGATACTAGGCCTTATCATAGATGATCATCTTCCCAGAACACCCCTTTCTTCGTCTAAAAATCGAGTTTCCAATTTTGAGAAATTAATTGCAGATTCAAATTTCCCGACCCCAATTTACTTTCGTCAACTTTTATAGAAAATCGTTATTTTGTCGAAATACCTCCTCATTAGCAGAACGGTCGAGGTCTCCCAATTGTCGTTACTCCGTTACCAGTTACCTGGTAACATAGCGCTAAATTTCCACCCCTAATTGTACTTCATTGTAGTTTAGCGTATTTCACTATACTTTCAAGTACTTTAATGTACTTTAATGTACTTCATCGTACTTTACTTACTTTAAAGTACAAAAGTACGATGTTTCCCCCTTGCATTAACTCTTTCAATCAACCGAGAAACAGTGTGAATAAGTGTTATAGATCTCATTCTATCATCTACCATTTTGGAACACCTTCAGCTAGATTTTGACATAAAAGAAATTATATTTCTGTAAGGAGAACCGATTTCAACACCTATTGAGCCCCCTTCTCCCGCTTCCCCGTTTTTTCTTGTAAATTTCGATCATTATCAGTATTTACCAATCATTTACATTTTTTCAAAAGTTCCACTCTTTTAAAGACAGATTTTTTATTACGTATATATCGATCATTTTCAAGATATAGATATATATACATGTAGATATAGATAATGTAGAAGGTTTTAGCTATGGCCATAAATTACTTATAATTTATTGTTATTGGTAAATATTAGCAATTTATTATGAGAACAGATACTTGTTCGCCATAGAGTAATACGCTTGAAAAGAAAAATACACTACGTAAAGATCGTCGAGTTCTTTTTTTATCACAAACGATCAATTCTCGAGATATACTATGACTATTTTATATAGATTTTTTAGATTCCTTTTGTTTTTGAGAAATATCTGAAAGTTCCTTGTTTTCCGAAATGCGAAAATATATCTTTATTCTGTATTCATGACTTTTAAGACACATTACATGCACATATAGAACAAAATCAATAGTCAAACAACATAACAAATATAATATAATCAAAGTCTTTATGTCTAAAGATTTGAAAAAAACAAAAATGATCTTAATGGTTTCATGGTATATCCAAAATATCTATTTACACTGCTTCTAAACAAAAAAAATACATTTTTTTTTAAAAGTTATTTCAAATATATATCGATTCTGATGTAGAAAGGTCGATAGCAAGGTGCAAAGTCAATCAAGTGGAACATGATTGATGATATATTTTAATTTGTTCGTAACGCGTGATTGTTCAATAATTATCGAAGACATCATATTTAAGCGTACAGGTAAAGCGACAAAAATCATTGATTAACTTCAACATTTGACGAAATAAAATAAACATCTGGTACTTTGTAATTAAATCAAAATAAAGATGACCAATATTAATAAAATTTTTATATCTTCAACAATATTAACAATTTTGATTATTCCGAGTATTGTTTTAATGTATTTCGCTAGTTTTCAAAATCATACTTCAGTTATACAACTAAATGAACAAATACGAGTACGAGGTGTTATTGTTACACTTATACGAAGTACAAATCGATCCATCTTCCTCACAATTAATATGATACATTCTGTTATTCACTTTTATCCAACTTCTAATGGTTCTCTATATCCATTTATTATATTTCATGATAAAGGTTTTACTTCAGTTATGCGTCAACAAATATTATCTTGTGTACTTCGAACTAATAAACAAATACAAATTTCATTTGCACTTGTTAATTTTCAAACATCAGTAAAACCAAATAATAAATCCCGATTAGAAAAATCAATTGGATATCGTTT